CCTGCATCTTGTTCTCTCTTTTTAGGAAATGTATGGATACGACGAGGTGGGGCTTGAGGAGGTTGTTAGCCCCTGCCATGTAGAGAATATCTACGGTTTTGCTCAGAAATACTCCCCCGTTGTGTACAGCATAGTGTTTGCCCTTGCTGTCATAGGAAATGTCATGGTGCTGTGTGTGATCAGACGCTACAGAAACTCTCAGAATGGCGGAGCCTGTGCCTTCACTCTAACAGACACCTTCCTCCTTCACCTGGCCATTTCTGACCTCCTGCTGGCCTTCACCCTGCCCCTGTTTGCAGTGCAGGGTGCCTACCAGTGGGTGTTCGGCACAGCGGGTTGCAAGATCTCAGCGGCTCTTTTCTCCTTGAATCGTTACAGCGGCATTCTCTTCCTGGCGTGCATCAGCTTCGACCGATACCTGGCCATTGTTCACGCTGTGAGGTCAGGTTGGAAACGTAACACCTGTCATGCTCAGTTTGCATGTGCAGTCATCTGGATAGTCTGTCTAGGTTTGAGCGGAGTTGACATTGCATTTGGAGTGGTAGTGGAGAACCCGTATGAGGGGAAAAATGTATGCATGGTGTGGTTCCCTCAGAATGCCAACCAGTGGCAGATTAGCTTGCTGTCTGTCAGCGTCAGCCTGGGTTTTGGTCTTCCACTGCTTATCATGCTCTATTGCTACATCCAGATCTTCAGATCTCTGTGCAATGCCTCTCGTCGTCAAAAACGCAAGTCTCTCCGTCTCATCATATCCTTAGTATCTGTGTTTGTCATCTGCTGGGCTCCATACAACTGTTTCCAGCTGGCAGACAGCCTGCAGACTCTCGGTGTGGTGAGTCCAAGCTGTCATTTTAACCAGGTGCTGGACATTGGAATTCTGATTACTGAAAGTGTGGGGCTTTCACACTGTGCCCTCAACCCTCTGCTGTATGGCTTTGTGGGCGTGAAGTTCAGGAGGGAGCTGGTGAAAATGTTTAACGAGATACTTGGACAGAGAGGCTGGGTTGGAATTGAAAGGTTAAAGGAGAGAAGATCTAGAAAAAGCACAGGATCTATAACTTCTGCAGAAAGTGAAAATACCTCCTACTCTGTCATGGTGTGAAATTATTCAGAAATTGAAAGAAAGGTGTGATTGGATGTTTGGATGAAAGAGTTTTTTTCAATATAAAAACCTGGAAAAAAAAAAAAAACAAATTCCAAAAAGGTTCTCAAAGTAATATCATTTATATCTATATGTTTCACAGAGGTGCTTAAATGTAATTGTATTTCACTTCATCTTGCTTTGTATTTGCTCTGCCCGTTTCCTCACTGAGACTAAGAAAGTAGAGCACATCACCCCAGTTCTAAAGTCCTTACACTGGCTCCCTGTATCTCAGAGAATAGACTTTAACATACTTCTGTTAGTCTATAAATCCCTGAACGGCTTAGCACCCAAATAAATGAAAGACTTGCTATCAGTGTATCAACCCTCCAGACCACTCAGGTCTTCTGGCCCCAGCCTCCTCTGCATACCTAGAACCAGAACTAAACATGGAGAAGCAGCATTTAGTTCCTATGCTCCACTTATCTGGGATAAACTTCCAGAAAACTGTAAAAATGCAGAAAGCTTGAGTTCCTTTAAATCAAGATTAAAAACACATTTGTTTAGTATTGCCTTCGACTGTTCTAGTTAAACAGTTCAACTGAAACATCATTGGTTCAATTTTTTTTATTTTCTTTAGTCCAACTGTTTTTAATGCTCTTCTTTGTTTCTGCATTTTGTTTTATCCTTTGTGTTTTGATTCTGTTTTATTTTCCTATATTTTATCATGTAAAACACTTTGCATTGTCTTTGTACTGAATTGTGCTATACAAATAAATTTGCCTTGCCTTGTTGTATTTAGCTGTAAATTCCTAAGAGCAGCATAAATTGTACATAATGCCATAATCCCACAGGTTGATGCTGTTTTAATAGGGAATTCATGAGAATGTATCCATTTTTGTGTCGAGGGGTACATTTTTTTTTCATCTTGGGAAATATGGGTATTTCTTCATACTCCTTAAAAGACGCTGGTTCAGCAGTTTAGAGGGTTACCGCAGCCTCAGTACTCTGAATGTTCAGTCAAATCAATGTGTTAAACTTTGATCAAACTACTTTTCATTAGATGCTTTTGTTGTTGTTTTTATCTTTTATATTGTGCTGAACATGAATCTTGCATTTAAAGGAGCAAATGAACCTGAATTATGTACATTAAAAAAAAATCAATGTTTTTATGAACATTTTTTTCCAAATAAATGTTTTTGAATGAAAAGAAAGTGTTTTTCTCTCTGTGTAGACTGGCCACCTAGGTAAACTGCAGAGACACTCCTCAGTGTTAATACAAGGGATATTATGACAAAGCAGAGTGAAGAAAAGAAGATGAAAGTTGACATTTACAAATCAGTTAGTCAGCTCATACACGATTTGTTATGTTAAAGGTTAACCCTAATAATTCCCCTTCCTAGTTTATGATTGATTTTATTATGTTGTTTTTATGTGTTTTTATATGTCTTATTGTACTGCTGCCCCTTGGCCAGGTCTCCCTCGAAAAAGAGATTTTATCTCAAGGGACTTCCTGGTAAAATAAAGGTTAAATAAAAAAAATAAAAAATCCCCAAACCAACCATCAAAATACTGTAGGTTGTCAGCACTTTAGTCTAAAAACATTGATATGTCAGCAAATAAAAAGTGTTGTTCATACAATATTTGTACTACATTGTACAAATACACTGTCAGCAAAACGTTCCAGATGCCATTTGTGAAAACTATTTTTTAGAAACAGATCTTTAATACACTATACATTTGATCATATTCATTCTATATCTTTTTTTTAGGACATTATAAACATTTTCCCCACAGTGGTCATCTTTACAAAATAGAAGATATAATAAAAAAGAACTACAATAACTATGTCAGGCCAGTATTGGGCAATGACACGTCACCAAAATTCAATAGAAGACAAAGCGTGCTGTATTTTCACCTCACTTATTTACATCAATAGTTAGTTTAGAGGTGTGATTAGGTAATCCACTGCTTATTGATATGATAATATGATAAATACTAATAGTAAAGTAAGGTTAAATTTCTAAGAAGTTGTTCAAAACTAAATCCATGACTACCAAGCCTCTGCTCGATAGAATTTTTTTTTTTTTTACATCTATGGTTTTTAATTTTTCCATTATTTGTTACACATATGTGGCGTAGTGTGCTCAAGCACTTTATGGTCTTGACCAGAAATTGGAAACTCTTGAGGAAGTAACACTGTGGAAACTAAGCAGTTATAACATGGGGGATGTGGGCATAAAATAGAGCTTAATAGTTCCGAAGGTGCTACTGGTTATAAAATGGCTGAGAGCAATTCTTCTAGAGCAGAGGTGTCAAGTAACAAAGTACAAATACTTTGTTACTGTACTTAAGTACACTTTTTAGGTATCTATGCTTTACTCCATTACTTATTTTTCTTCCTACTTCTAACTTCTACTCATTACATTTTCACTAAAGTATCTGTACTTTCTATTCCATTCATTTTTAAAAAAAACATTATTCGTCACTCTTGGCTTAGGTTTTATGTTTATAAATATTTATTTCCTGTCATGTGCGCCATCCAATGCAGATCACTGGCGCCATCCACATCTAGAGAAAACTAGTGCAATTGGATGAGTCATATAATGCAAACACTTATTGGTTAGCTGAAGGAAATGGTAAGAAGCAAGCAGGTGTTCTTCAAACTGCATGCCACCATGGTACAATGTTGGATGCAGAAAAAGATGTTAAAATGTCTGAAAGGTCGGACACAGGCAAGAACGTATCGGGAGATGGAGACGGAGACCAACAAGACCTCCCTCATCCTTGGCCCTATCTCAAAGAATTTTTCGAAATAGTCGAAAAATTGAGCTTTCAATTCATATAGTGGCATCTGGCTGTTTTTTTTTTTAAAGGTAACTTTATACTTTTATACTTTAAGTAGTTTTTGGAGCCCATACTTTTTCACTTTTACTTGAGTAAAGAGATACTTTTACCAGAGTGTTTTTAAACTGCAGTATCTATACTTCTACTTAAGTAACAAATGTGTGTACTTTTGACAACACTGTTCTAGAGGAATTCCAATGCAGGGCTCTCTGGGAATTTGGTATGCAAAGCATAAAAAGCATTCAGATAGTATCAGCTATTATCACATAGCTACCATGTTCCAACATGGGAACTAAAACAAACAAGATAAGTGGTGGCCTAGTGGTTAGGGCATTGGGCTTTGAATCCTGAGGTTGTGAGTTCAATCCCCCACTCCCACAGACTGCCACTCTGGGTCCCTGAGCAAGACCCTTAACCCCACACTGGTCACCAGGCGCCTCACAATGGCAGCCCACTGCTCCCCAAGGGGATGGGTTAAATGCAGAGAAGTAATTTCCCTCTGGGATTATTAGAGTATATAAAATAAAAATAAAATAAAAATAAACACAATTTGTCATATTTTTTACATTTTAATTCATGTCTAGACAAAAAAAAAATGCACATTTGTACCTAGAAAAAAAGCAGCTGACAATCAGAGAAAAAACAACAACACAAAAATAAAAAAAGTAGAGTTATAGTCCTTCTCTATGTAAAGCCCTAATAGATTATGCCTCACTAAATTTTCCTGATATTGACAGGTCTATGGGTCTCTTCCAAGACGATTGCTCCCCCTAGTGGAAAATAGCAATTATTGCAGTATCACTCTGTTAGTCAGAGGGAATGATGTCACGTCGATGCGGAAGTGCTTGATGCTGATCTCCAGAATAATGCAATCATTCTTTTAAAGTTTTATTCTATGTCATGTTATCTGTGTCATTTAAATAGAAAAGGTGATTCTATATAAAACAAAAAAAAAGTTTTTTGTTCTTTTTGTATATTTTCTTAGTTTTATAGTTGCGTTTCGATGATTATACGTCATTACAGAATTTATTTTGAAAAGCAACATAATTAAAATGCTGTGAGCTCGTGCAATTGTTACATCAGGGGACAAAAAAAAGCTATTAGTTTCTGAAGAGATCGATAATCCTAAGTGATAAAGTTGCAAAAAATAGTTTAAGTTAGATTTTAATACAATCAGTGATTTTACTTTAGAGGATGATCCGCTTCAGATGCGCATAACTTCCAGCAGGTGCGCGTTTTCTTATGTTACTATCTCGCTAGGGCTGTATTTTTGCTTTGTTTCTGCAGGTCCAACCCCCCAAAACCCGCTTAAAAGATGGTTTCGTTTCTAAATAAATACAAATGATCAACCCGGTTCAACCGAGGAAACGAGAAGGTTTGTTTATTTCAGTAGCTGGGTTTGACAGGCGTCTGACAGCTGATGTAAGGCAGGAACCGCGTTTGTTTTTGTTACAGTCTGTCTGACGCTCTTTGGAGAATTGACTCCGAGTTTTTTGTTTCAAAACGCTGAGAAGTCTCAGCAGACTGCTGCCAGAAAATTCAGAAGAAGTCGGTAAGTGATCGCATTTAAACTTTCAAACATCTGTGCTATTTATAAAAGGCTTAACTTTGGTTTCGATTGTGTTTTTCTTTATGTTTTCTATGCAAATTGTCATAAAGGCTACTGGAAAGCTACTGATGGAAATTGACTTTTTAAAGAAAATAGTACTTTTTGTTTCCCCCATGAACAATTGTATATTATTACGCATTAACAGCTGGGTTATGGAGGATAGATCCCCACTGCATGATCTGATTAAAAAACTTTGAAAAGCAAAGAGAAGAAAAAGAAAAAAAGCCTCATATCACAGAGTCAGTCAGAATCAGGTGGATCAGCTGCCAGCAGCTGCCAGCAGCACTTTGCTAGATTTTTGCAGAGATTCCAAAGCATTTAAAGTCGGATTCAGCCTTTCTCCACAAATGAATGTAAAGAAAAACAAATCTGAAAACCTCATGTGCTTAAGTTGCTGCCTGCACCTTAAATGTGTTTACAATAATACAAATGACCAGTAAACAACTTTGAAGGGGTGATTTATATTGAAAAAACATGAGAATAAACTTGGAGAAACATATATCATTACTTTCTGTGGTGTCATTGGAGGCAGGTGTTTAAAGGATCTTGGTTTTGAAAGGATGTATTAATGCCATTTAATAGTGTTTTTTTAAACTCCAAAACAAATGGGAAAACCAAACTCTGACTTGTTGCTATAGAAATGGTAAACTAAATCTAAACCAAATGCTGATAGGCTTTAAATACTTTATTGGAAGTATACTGTAATTGAGAGGGAAAGTTTTTTTAGTTTTGCGTTTTTTCCACTTTGCTAACTTCACGCTTGCATCATCGTGACATTGCACCTCGTGCTCTGTGTCTACGCATGATAATAAAATGTCAGCTGGGTTTTCCAGAGGTATATTTTTAAAATTGCTCTACTCTTGTAGGCAGCTACTGATGCAGAGAGTATAAAAGCCAGATCACTTCTGATTTCCTTCTTGTTTCTGTCTCCACTGAAGCTTACGATGAACCTAACTCTTGATGGGCTATTTAACAAGAATGAAACCTATGACTATGGGGACTATGAATATCCAGGGGAGGAGGAAATAAAGGGAGATGATACGGTGTGGATCCCACTCCTGTACTCCATCTTTGTGATTGTTGGCCTACTGGGGAATGGACTTCTCCTGGCAGTCCTGGGTCAGAAGAGCCGATCCTGGACGGTATCGGACAGCTTTATTCTCCAGCTAGGTGTGGTGGACATCCTGCTGTTGGTGACCCTGCCCTTCTACGCTGCACATGCCAATAAGGGCTGTGAATGGTGCACACCGACTTTCTTCAAGATCTGCGTAGCTGTTTTTAAGGTATGTTTTTTGTTGAAATGAGGCTATTGAAGATAAGTCTGTTTATTAAGAACAATTTGGCTGCAGCAGCTTTTTATATATTGACTTTGCTTTTGTAACACAAACTGCCCTTAATATAGTACCTAAGTTTCCAGTGAGGGAGATGCAAGTGAAGGATATTATTTTTATTCACATAGTTGATAGATCAGGCACTGTTATGTTGTCTTTTTAAGACAATCTGGCCCAAATGATATCCAATAAAAATATGTATTTGAAAGAAGAAGGATACAGATAATCAACTTTGCAAATGTACCATACAAAGAAATTTGTCTTCTGCATTTAATCTCCCCATTAGAGAATAGTCGGCAGCCTAAAAGCAATCTGGGGATTAGTGTCTTAGATCCAGATCCAGAATTTTAGCCTGTAGTGTTAGAAATGGATTCTTCTTCAGATCCGTGCTCTTCTCTAACCTGGTAAACTTCGGTCACAGCTCTCTCTTTCAAAAAATAGAACTGTGACATAGGAATGAATCTATAAAGGTAGGTATTATTAGGATTTAGAATCAAAGAAATTGTCTTTTGTAGAGTATTTATATGCTAAAAAAATTACAGCATATTTACAAGGTTAAGTCCGGATAATCTCAGCCACTCCAACCTTAAGCTTTATTAAAAAGTAAAGTTTTACTAAAACTTCTGCCTCCTTTTTAAAGAAGCTTTTGAAGCAGTCAGTGAACCTGCAGTCTCAAAGCAAAGCTTTGTTTATATTGGAAACACGTGGAACAGTCAGATATCCCATACAGTGGAAATTACACTTGAATCATCAAGACCTTTATTTGTAAGATGAGGAATTCCAGATTATATTTTGGATTTATTAGATAATAAACAAAGAGAAGCTAAAGTTGGAGAATTAACCTTTTTTTTGTTTATTTATTTTTTTGTTTTCTGATAACAATATTACAATAGTAAAATCTAGACAACAAATAAAGAGACTAATTTTGTGCATCAGAACATTGGGGCAGAACATTTCTAATTAAGGCAATGTTGTGGAAGTGCAGGAAGGATGTACTAAATCATTTTAATATGGGCTTAAAGGTTATGTCAACAAGATGTTTATATCTCCTCCCTTCACATGAACAAACTGAAATCTGTCAGACAAAATTATCTAAATCATTCTGATGGTTTTCCTTCAGCCCTTCAGCCTCTGTAGCAGAAATAATTTTCAAATGTACAACATGCAGAAATATTATAACCACCTATCTATTATCTCAGCTTAGAGAATATCATCTATGTTGTTGCTAAACTTGAATCGTTTATTAAGAGAATTCTTCCTAAATATATTTTTCTTTTTCTAGATCAATTTATATGTTGGGATCTTTCTGCTGGTTTGCGCCTGTCTGGATCTCTATCTATACTCCATATATGCTGACAGGGCTTCCTGCCACAGAGCCAGCTTTGCTTTTTTTGGCTGGCTGGCGGCGTGGCTGGTCTCTATTGTCCTGACCGTCCTGGACAGTCTTTACCTCAAGCCTGTCATCGCTTCACTGCCAGGAAAAGCCCTCTCCGCTCTCTCTCCACCTGACTCTGGAATGGACCTGCAGCTGATTTCACGCGTTCTCCACCTCGGAGTTGGCGTCTTGCTCCCCGCACTCGTCCTGGTCGTGTGCTCCTCCAACATCATGATACGATGCAGAGCTAACAACCGGCAGAAGAAACAACCTGTCGTCCTCCTCCTGTCTCTGGTGACAGTTTTCCTAGTCTGTTGGATTCCATATAACATCACTCTCTTCATTGATGCCATCTACTACATGTCAAAAAACCATTTACGCAGTTTTCCCCTCAGTTCTTTGACAACAGCTGTGAAAGTCACATCAGCTGTAGGTTGTGTCAGTGCCTGCCTCAGGCCCTTTTTGTATTTTCTCCTTTGCAGAAACTTCCGTACAGGAATATTCAGCCTTCTTAAATGTAATAGAGAGGATTTTAGGGGCTCAATGTGGGAGCTTGGCATGGATGGGAACGCCACACATGACCTTTGTCAATCAGAGGACGAGATGAAACAGATGACAAGCACAGAAAAACAAGTAGAGCCTGTTTAAGTAAGATGGACATGAATACATCAGTATGACTCAGACATCACCTGACAGACGCTCTTCAAAGGAAGGGGACTTTTTAAAGCTGAATGAATTATTTGGGATTGTTAAAGTCCACGTGTTAACTTTCAAGAAGGGAAAAGACCCAGATTGGGTAACAGTCAAGAATCCGAGCCTGGTCATTGTTACATAAATGTTTGTTTCACAATTTAAGCTTTCTATTATGAATGCAAACATATTTACTTTTTTATATGATATTTTTTGTCGTTGTATTTCAAATTATTGGAATGTGTTTTATTTAATATATACCAAATATGCAGAAGTGTCATTTTACAATCTTAAAATAAAAGTAACTAAAGTTTCAATAAGAAATATTCAACCTAACTGTAATGTTCAAATGAAAAAATGTAACTATTAACACATGCTTTTTTTTTTTTTTTTAGCTGTATATCTTCCTATTCATCTTTTAGCCTTTCTAACTTCCAGCAAACATTTTGGCTACAGTCTAACAAGTTTCTTACACCTCTTATCTTTGACCTTTACCAGTTCTTTATTAATGAAAGTCTCTATATTAGGGAATTTGCCTTACTTGTTTTTAATTACCCCAATAACATCAGTCAGATGTACATCTTGTGACTGTAAATTACTTAACTACTCATCAGGATTTTTCTGGATCATGTTTTGGTTGACTTATACTGTAAATGGGCTTCTGGTCAATGTCTTGCTGGAAAGTCCAATGACCATGATGAATTTCCGCGTAAAGAACCTTGTTACAAAGGCAAGGTGTGTCTAAAAAAACTTCATGATGCTTAGCACATGATAAAGAATGTCATTCCTGTTGCTGAAAAAGAGCCCCCCCATCATCAGTCACCCACCTCCATGCTTGATCATTTACCTGAGCATACATATAGTCTTTTTAGTCTCAGGGTGTCATTAGTTGATGGAACTCTCCTCATTGCAAGTTCTTTTATTTTGACTTTGCTTGTAGTTTTAGTCTTGGTATTGTGCAATGGCATCTGTGCTCCACACTTCAGTTGTGGTAAGCTGCATTGTGACCACAGCTGTTCTTTAGCAGCTGACAGAAGTGTGGCTTCCACAAAATCACAATAGGGAGTGTGAACACCAACAGCAAGGTGGGTGAAGTGTTTTGCACAAGGACAAAAAGAACACAGATAGGCAGAGCTGGGACTCAAACCACTAACTCAACTGTTACAGAATGAACCCATACATCGTGAGCCACATCGATAGAAGAGAAGGGAGCAGAAATCTACTTTATTGTCTAACAGTGGGGAGGTGTATTTACAGCAGAATGAAAGGCAAATAATGGCATGTGGATGCATGCAAAGTTAGAAAATATTAAAAATAAAAAAATGGGTAAGAGAGACTGTACAGATGAAGAAAATGTATTGTAAAGCGTAGTTCATTAAAACTAAATAAATGTGTAGCTGAGATGGATGATATAATAACTACACAGAAGCATGTATTAATGCATTAAAAACCAAAATGCAATATGCAAAAACAGCTTTGCTGTAAAAAATTATTTATTATTAGGATAAACCATTCTTTCACTGAGGAAACTGCAGCTTCCTGCAAGTGGGAAGAGACACACTGTCCTATAGTAATGCAAATTTGGCCTGTGTTCTATCGCTAGATATGTCCGCAGCTTTTCCATAGGTATTTTGGGATGTTAGTCTTTGGAGCTTATTTAACTAAATTCCTTGGCTGTGATGGAAGATTATTTTTCATTTTTATGCTTTTTTTTTCTGTCATTATCCCAGTTACCTTGACTTTTCATTGTAGCTGTGGAAGTAAGAAAAGGGATTTTCTTTAGGAATAGGTTGTAAATCAGCTACTCAGAGCTAAAAACTGGCATTGCTTTCCTATGTAAGACAACAGTAATCAATCATGCCTTTTTGTTGATGATTTTTATCATTCACTCATCACATTCAAAAGTCATTTAAAAGCCTTTTTTTTCACAGAAAACTTTGTTTGGATAAGCCTTTAAGTCTTTGTGGAGTTTGAATATTTCTGATTGTAACAGTATGTAAAAACTAGCACCAGAATCTATAAGCTGTATTTGTTGTCAGTGTTATTTTTCCATCTTGTCTGGCTTTGTTCACTGTAAAACTGAAAAGCTTCAACTATTTTGTTATTGAAGTTGCCAAATGGTCCCTCCCAATAAACCGTTTCACTTTTCTTTCAATGTGTGGTCTGCTTTCTCTTTTCTTATCTTGAAACAGCAGCACATGCTTTCCAGGATTGTGCAATCCTTCCTGTTAATTAGCACAGAGCGGTACATGGGAAATTTTTATTGGCTCCAAGCATTTTTTTTTCTCCTTTTTGGATTCTGAGAAACGATTACACTGATGTCATTTGTCAGGTGATAGAAACCACAGCCGAGAGGCCAGGGGTTCTGAGCTGTGTGTTGGTGCTGCACCTTCATTAAAGAGGAGCTTTGTTCACAGTGGAGAGGACAGTGGTTTGCTTTGTGTTTGAAGCCTTGACTTCGTAGGTGGGTGGAACACAGAGTCTTCTGGGGGAGAAAAAGCCCATCTGAAGGGAACAAAGGAAATATCCTAAAAAAAAGCTTTATAAATTCTTTTACTGGTTTGCGAGTCAGGGCCTGCAAATCCACTTCACAGTGACTCTAAATATAAACTGGAATGGATGTTATTCACTTCTGGAAATGTGCCGTTCAATCACTTCACAAACAGGCAGGGGAACACAAATGGATGCTTGTTCTTCTTCCTGTTTTTGGCTGCAATTTTAGTTTCTTTATATGCAGTGGCTGTGATTTTATGTCATTGTGAAAAATGCTTTTTGACTTTAAAAACACACATTCTAACTGAACGACCTTTCTTGTTAGTCTTTAACACATCAGACTGAGGATCTGTTTCCTGCCATTACTGAGGCTGTAAAGGACCTACTGTACATATGATACATATAAGGAGCAGGAACTGACAAGAGAGACCACCCACTTTTACATAAAGATCACAATATATTTAGAAAAAAAACTTTTCATGTGGAAAATAACCCAGCTGCATACTGACAAGATGTTTCCGGTTATCATGTATTTTTGTGGTGAGTCCTTGGTTCTTTTGTGAAGGATCCGGCTTGCACACCAAAAAAACAATTTAGATTCCTCACATAAAAGCTTTAGGAATATGAATTTAGAGGAAAAGTCCAGTCAGCAAGGAATATAACTGGATCATTATATATACCTAATACTAATACATTTACGTTATTAGTAAAAAAATAAAATCATTTTTATCGGGATCACAGAGTCTGGGGGCAGCCAGTCACAGTGCGGTAAACCCAGCGTCATTCTTCCTACTTTACAAGCAAAATCAATGGGAACTACTTTACACACCTGCAATCAACAACAATTATTTTAGATTTCAAGAGGACTTCACCATTGAAATTCACAAGAGCTATTGTTAAAGTAACAACGGCCTCATGCATGGCAGCTGGATATTGCAATACATCAGGTAAAAGTGAAAAAAAGTAGTTATTTCACCTTTCCAATTCATGATCATGGATGGGTTCGTGGTTGGATTGACAACTTGAAGAGGGAGGATTTTCCATCAAACTTCTGGTCAGAGAAAAACATGTAATATGTAGCAAACATTTAAAAGAAGAATGTTTTCAAGATGACTTGGATAATAGCACGTTGTGGCAAACAACAGATAGAACATTGGGACTTGCTCAACAGCCGATACAGCACCGTGATGTCACAAACAAAGGTGTTGTGTAGTGTTCTTTGACACACATGAATGCCTCCATTAAAGCACATTCAAATGGAAATTGCTCTTAATTATAAACACTAATCATTTATTGAACAAAGTGTAATAATTTATATTTAAAGTACATTCAGAAGTTTGAATTCTGAATATGAGCGGACTTTTCCTTTAAGCACATTGTATGGATCATGCTCTCTGAACACTGGATAACTTACTAAATCTAGCAATTATCCTCATTAGAGGGAATGTTTAACAAACTGTATTATGTAATTATTTATGAACCTTACACCTTTATTACATTAATGTCTGATGCAAATTCCTAATATATCATATCTTGGATTTAAGGTTTTAGATCAACACGCACATCATGAGCTTTATGAATATTTTCAATAGTTTTTACAAAGAAAAAACATTTTTAAAGCCTTACTGTACATTCATTGGTATTCATGCTGGTGGTTTAAATAGTTTTATTTTGGTTTCCTGTGATCACCTCCTTCTACATGTTTACTATGTCCACTTGCAAAGTTTGCAGTTAGTTATGTGGATAGTGGTGTCACTGTGTATTCAAGCTTATCCATTCTGGGAACAGGTTTCAGATCTTGTCAGATCTGTAGCTGTTTTGTCTGGATAGAACACCCTATCCAAAAAGTAGCTTTCCATTTATAACTAAACCACACTTAAAATAGACAAGGCCTAGCTTGGGATAAAATGAAATGTAAGTGTTTCTTTTAACCAGGGCTTCCTCTCTGTTTCTGTTACATCAATTACTTAAGGAGAGAATGACCAAAGGTTGACATATTCGACTTTGGACCTCCTGGCTGCTTTAATTACTCTTCTTCAGTTCCCAGCTGTGTAATTAGGTTTGTGAAAAATGCGGTTTAAATAAAATGAATGCCGCTCAGTATGATTTGTAAAGCTTAGGAACTTGTTTTGATGACCTAGCCCTATATTACATGGTCAACAGTAAATGGTCTGTACTTATATGGTAAGCTTTTAAAATCAGGGGACTTCCAACAGCCCTTACACTACATTTAGTCATTCATCTGTTCCAGAGATGGCAAAAGTACTCACTTTCCGTACTTGAGTAAAAGTACAGATACTTGTGTTAAAAAATACTCTGGTAAAAGTGGAAGTACTGATTAAACTTCTTTACTCAAGTAAAAGTAACAAAGTACAGGCTTGTAAATTTACTTAAAGTATAAAAGTAAAAGTAGAATCCACGTTTTTCATGCCGTTGCCTACATTTTAAATGGATGTCTGCCAATAGGACTAGATCTCCGTTGTGTTCATTTTCAATCATCTCGTCATCCGTACTACTATGCTAACGCCACCGCCACCAAGCTGCAATGATTTGCCGCGAATGAATACCGCCGAATCTGTCGATTCATCTTGTAGTGGTGCGTCAAATGCAACGTAGATTCCCATCCAATTAGATTGAATTTGGTATTGATGACGTGAAAAATAATAACGGTAACTCCATTGAAATGATTCAAAACTAAAGTAACGAGCCAATTTTTTAAAATGTAAGGAGTAGAAAGTACAGATATTTGTGTAAAAATGTAAGGAGTAGAAGTAAAACTTTAAACTTAATCTTTACTTTAACCCTGACACCTTAGGCGTATGACTTTGTCCTTATAATACTATTCGGTCAAATCTGTTCTGTAATAAATGTTTGATCCTTTCAAAGAACCCCTGGATTTATTATATGCAAGGGAGCTGTAGTAGTTAGATGAGCTCTATAGAAAACTGGTCTGGGCTAAAACAGTAAACAGGGCTTAAAAAATGGCATGCCACATATTTCAAATTTTTATTTAAAAAGAAAACAATCTTTGTTTTGTAAGATGGCCCTGTTATTTTAGTGCATTTGTATGTTAGAGAGTGACACAGCACTAATGATACAGTGAAACCTGCTTTAGAAATTCTAAAGAGGAAACATGAAGCATGACGATGAGATCAAAATAAGGACTGAAATTATTTTAGTTGACAGTCATGTGATTTAAATAAGTCATACCCAGAAGTGAAATGTGTGACTGTATGCGTGTTTTAAGGAGGTGATTGCTGATGATAAACCCTTTATAACCTCAGGTATTTTTAACTGCATTGTGGTGTGTGCACATGCTTTATCTTTTGTTTCTGCAATGTCTCCTAGTGCTGAAAATAGTCTTTTACATAAAATTATTTTTTTAACTTAACGCTTTGCTGTACCACAGACATAAGTTTTGCTTTCTGTTCCAAATTGACATTTGCCCTTCTAAAAAAGGTCAGATGATCGGCTTGAACAATCCCTTTGTAGATAAGGGAAATAAGGTTGCTTTCCTTTGCATTGCATAACCTGCTTAACAGATTGCTGGCGTCTCCAGGGAGGAAGCGGTTACATTGTTCTGCTCTTGGCTCTTTCAGAAGCAGAAAAAAATTGCTGTGAGCAGCTACAATGTTTCACCAGCTTGCTGGAAAACACCTTGTCTAGTTTTAAGATGAGGTTTAAAATGTTTCTTTTTAATTCAGCTTATGGTTATGCACTAGTTATATTGTCTTAGGTTCTGAGCTATTTATGTTGTTATGCTGCTATAGGCTTAGGCTACTGGAGGACATAGGGAACATTTTTCATCATTCTTCATATATTTTACATCTCTACATTGTCTGTTAGTTCAATCCCTAAG